GAACCTTTATTTACCTTTCAGAAAAATATCTCAAAGGCTTGTTGAGATTAACAGGAGTTTCCTCATAGAACAGAGTTCAGGGATGTATTGGGGGAAGGACCTGAATTGGTAAATAACAGTGAAAATTCACTGATTGTGGGTTGGGTTTGCTCTCTATTCCATTAAAATCCTGTCCGTTTGCAAGGCAGAGGTGTAAGCTGTCTGCCTAAAGAAGACTTAACCATTAGCATTTTGTTCTTGACATTTTCCACCCGTGAATCTCAGCTGTTTGGTGGCTGTGATCTCGTATTTCAGTCACATTACCCTCCTTTTTCTTAAAAAAATACATCTTTTCATTCTGTATCTTTTAATTCATTGACTGTAACTCTTCCAGGTCTGCAGCCGCGGGGCGTTTAATGCCTTTTGACACCCAGAAGCAGCGTTGAGAGATTTTTGTGCCGGTAAAGCCCTCCTCTGGGGCTGGGTATTTCGAGGAGCCGCAGTCAGAAGTGGGGTTTCCCTTGCCAGGGCGCTCAGCAGAGGCGGTGAATAGCGCAGCTCTGCAAGGACGCAATGGCAAAGCCACTGCTTTACCTCACCAGCCCGCGGGCACCGCTTTTGTTGTGCTCACAGCAGGCTCTGAGCGATGTCTGCACAAAGGAAAAGGAGAGAATGAGCGGAAAGCAGTTTCTGGCTTTCCTCAAAGGCGCTTTTCGACCTCAAAAATATCAGCCTTGTGGTTTGCATGGTTTTGAAATGTAACCGCAGATACTGAGAACCGGGAAAGAGCTGATTTACCATCTCCTCCAGTTTTGGTACCAGATTCAGGGCAGATGAGATTCATTTTCAGAATGAAAAATGTTGAAAGGAAATACGTCCGTGTCCAAATTCTTTGAACAGGAACGTGGTATTTGGAGAAACTGTCGGGTGAAGAAATCGAGGTCCTTGTGTCTTGACGGACTGGGTGCAGATGTGTCTCTTTGAGGTCTCCACCGAAGCGCTATAACCTTGTTTTGGTGAAGCTTTGCCAGATATTTTATGGTCTGCAACCCCTTTTTTGGAGCTGGGAGGGATCAGTGTCATGGAGTCTCCTTCTCTGCAGACATTCAAAACCCGCCTGGACGCCTTCCTGTGTAACCTCATCTGGGTGTTCCTGCTCCGGCAGGGGGATTGGACTGGATGAGCTTTGGAGGTCCCTTCCAATCCCTAACGCTCTGTGATTCTGTCATTCTGTGTGAATGCTTTCTCTTCGTCCTTGATCTGGGACCCGAAGGGGTTCAGCTGCCTGGGGCACATCTCAGCCTCTCATGGTGGACCTGGCCGGGGGCACAGAGCTGATGCTCTCCTGCTCCTCACGCTGGCTTTTTGCACGGCCTTGTCCTTGTGTTGTTTGTTTTGCTCAGTGAATGACCCTTGCTAATAGCTGGATATCTCTTCAGTATATGGGGTTTTCTGCAGAATTTAACCTTTCTTTAGAAGTTTGGATGTTCTTGGTGTGACCCATGAAGGTGTTTTTCAGCATCCATGACCTATCACTGCGTTTGCAGTTCTGTCACTATTCAATATGTGTATTTTAGTAATCGCTGCTTCTTGCACCCACTGCTGCGGCTGGAGGCCGCTCCAGAACTGTCCTGTTCTTGTCCTCTTGAGCCCCGATGCGTTGGTTGTTCAGTCCTGACCATTTGGTTTTCAGTCGCTTCGCTTTGTTCTTCTTTCCCTTGAATTTCTTCCTCTTTCTCTTTTGTGTTGAGCAGTCGTGTGCTCTCCATATTTGTTCTGGAAAGCCTCTGGAACTCCTTGTAAGCTCCTGTCCCTTTTCCTCGGGTATCCTGGCTTTAGTTTCCTGCTGCTTCCCTGGTTCCTTTCAGATGTGGATGAGGAGAAACCTCTCTGCTGTTCCAGTACGAACATAACAGCGCTATTACTGCTTCGTTATCCATGCCAAAACCACTCATTTTTGACTCTTTAAGGGTGCCAGGAGAACATGAGGAGGCCAGTTCCCCAAAGAGGTCCTGCAGGAGAAAGAAAATATGAATTCCTCGTTTCTTTCAGAGGCCAAAATTATGTAGACCTTCACAGTTACATCTGCTGTCCTAGCTGAGGGGTAGCTGGGTCCAACGTGAACTGCAGCATCTTTCCACTCTGGTGGGGCTGGGCAAAAACCTAACGCTGCTGTGTTGTCTCATTTGAGTTTGGCTCTAGGAGTGACTGCTTGGTTTATGTTTAGCCTCTCATCCGTCAGTATTTGCAGGGCTTTGCCAGGTAAGAAAGGAAGCAGCGCTGCTCTGACGCCAGTGGTGAATATTTCAATGTTTTCTCTCCTTATTCAATCCCCATTTTAGAGAAGTGAATGGGAATCGCCTCTTTCTACGCCCAGAGAGCAAAACCTCATGGTCAGGCTGTGCCAGAAGATGGGTGGTTTTGGTTTCCCTGCCCGTGGTTGTCCACTGCTGCCCTGGGTGCCCAACTTTGGTGCATCACCACGTTATGGGGGTGTCTGCTCCATGTTTTGGGAAGGGGGAAGGTTGTTTCCTTGCACGGTGGCAGGCTGGGGACACGCTGATGTGTTCAAAACGGACTGGAGAGACAGTTTCTGTGTGTCCCTGTATTGAAATAAGGGCAAGCTCAGGTTTCAGTCACAGGGAGGTAAGGTAGGAAAAAGTCACGTAAGAAAAGGGCTTGTTTTGTTGGTTGAGGTTTAGAAAGCTTTTTAACAAGTTGAGTTATTGGCTGTATCTGAAGTCAAACACTGCTCCCCTAACTGCTCTCATTTCCTGTATCATTCCGGCTGGTTCCCTGCGTTAATTACAGCTCAGATTTACAGTGTATTTGGTTACACACCGGCTCGCATTCTAATTTATTTTCTCCTGTGTGTATGAATTTCTTTGGGAGCCGGGCCAAGAGGAGAGTGTGTGTGTATATGTGTGTGTATATGTGCAGGCACGCACACACACACGGGCTGAGTTTGACTGCTCGTGGCTAATTTTGTGGGGAGCAGGCATCTGGATTTCCTTCTGGTTTGTTGTAAAAAGAGACTTTTCTTTTTCCAGAGGAGAGGCAGTAGCTGAGAACAGCCAGGGTTTGGACAGTTCAAGATTTCAGAGCAGCCGGAGATGAGAGAAAATATTATCTTATGAATTGTAAATGTGGCATTTTTAATTTGGCTGGTGTTTCCCGGAGGTTAGCGGATGATGGGAACACTCTCATCCTCTTGGCTCAGCCACTGATGGGCTCGCTACTTAAAATATTTTATAAAGGCAGCGCTTCAGAGCTTAGTTGGCCGAGGTAGAGCTTTTCACAGTTGAAGTAGCTTTTTGTGACCTGAAATATGAAGTGAGATGGGATACTGAGCAAGAAATCCAGCATTTAGGAGCTGCAGAGCACAGAAGGCGTCTGAAGGGATGTTTCCTTTTCAGTTTAACATTTTTCCTTTGGCTTCATGAGTGCATAAGAGGAGGTGCACTGAATATATGAGGAGTGCTTTTGGAGAACTCATTCAGGTTTTTAAACTCATTCTTCACATTTAAACTGGTGACTCAGTAGAAGATTTCCATTCAGAATGGTCTGAGTCATGGATTCGTAAGTAAAGCGATTGCAGATTAAATAGAACCACGGATTTAAATGGAACCACAGGTTTAAAATGTTACTGCTTTAAACATGAAATATTCCTAAAGGTTTGGTTCAGAAATATGGTGACTACTGGTGTGATGAGTAATGCTGGTATGATGAGTGATACTGATGTGATGGATGATAATAGATACAGAAGAAGAACTGAATGCAAGTTCTCAAATAGCTTGGGGAAAAATAAAAAGATGAAAAGTCCAAATCACAGAATCCCAGAACGTGAGGGATTGGAAGGGACCTCCAAAGCTCATCCAGTCCAATCCCCCTGCCGGAGCAGGAACACCCAGAGGAGGTTACACAGGAAGGCGTCCAGGCGGGTTTTGAATGTCTGCAGAGAAGGAGACTCCACAACCTCTCTGGGCAGCCTGGGCCAGGGCTCTGTCACCCTCACTGAGAAGAAGTTTCTTCTCCAATTTCAGTGGAACCTCCTGTGTTCCAGTTTGTGTCCGTTACCCCTTGTCCTATCATTGTTTGTCACCGAGAAGAGCCTGGCTCCATCCTCGTGACACTCACCCTTTAAATATTTATAACCATAAATGAGGTCTCCCCTCAGTCTCCTCTTCTGCAAACTAAAGAGCCCCAGCTCCCTCAGCCGCTCCTCAGAAGGGAGATGCTCCACTCCCTTGATCATCTTTGTAGCCCTACGCTGGACTCTCTCCAGCAGTTCCTGTCCTTCTTGAACTGAGGGCCCAGAACTGGACACAATATTCCAGATGCGGTCTCACCAGGGCAGAGTATAAACTTCTTTTGAAATAACTGAGCACTCTTTTTCAGCCTTGCCACCGACCACAGCAACATTTAATCTTTGCCTCAAACACCATCTCGCCCCCCAGCACACAAAGCCTGCCCCGCGCCCACTGAGCAAACACAGCCTGAGCTTCCCAAAATTCACCTGCTCGCCTCTTCCACCCACAGCTTGCAATGGGCTTAACGCTCAGGAGCCGTCTCATTAGACACCAGCGTGTTGCCAACCCTTTCCAACCTGTGCAGGATGCTTGTGGTCCTCTTCTAGGACCGTTTTGGCTAAATACTGAAAGGAGGAGCGGTGGGGGCAGCGGTGGGGCTGTATTGGATGTGCAGCAGTGTTGCAATTTAGTTGTAAATGCCCCCGATACAGCTTTTCAGTACTGGAGCCCGTGTGGGTGTTTAGTTAAAGCCATGCATGGATGGTGGCTGTTATTTTGTGCGGATTTCGGAGCGAGGGGGTTTAGCGCTTTAATCCTGAGTGGCAGTTGGAAGGTTGGTGGTTTCAAACACAGTGGCACGGAGTGGCTGATTTCTCTGGGGCGAAACAATGCCCCAGTGTGTCTGGGCTGCCCGTACAGAGCCAATAAATCTGTTTTGTTTTGTTTTTCTCCCCCCCTTTTCTCTCTCTCTCCCTCTTCCCCCTCCTCCAGGCCAGGACCCGCTCCTTTTGCTGAAAACCCTCCAGCTCCTCTGGACAAAGAAAGAGATGAAGAAGGTAAGGCTGAGCCGCCCCTCCGCGCTGCAGCTCATCACTGCATGCAGAGCATGTCCAGACACAGAGCGCTTAGGTCAGCCCTGCAATTCTTCACCATCGCTTTCAGTTCCAGCGCGCAGGGGAAGAGCCTCCGCGTTTGCTGCGAGAAGCGAGAAGAAAAGGTAGCGCTGTGTGATGTGGAGCGGCTCAGGGGCTCCTGTGAAAGAGCTGGAGTCTACAGAGGGGGGGGGAAATAAAACCAAAGTTGCTTTTGTTCTCTTTTAGACACTTTTTTGGTCCATTAAATGGAGGATCATTGAGGGAGGGGGAAGCATATTCCTAGTAGCTGAAAAAAATGAGGCTTGAAGTCAATAGAAAAGTGCTCTTTGGCAAGTGCAGTGATATCAAAGCCTTCATATTCCGAGTATTTTTACCATTTTTTTCTGTTTCGGTTTGGTTTTGCATTTACAGAGTGGTGAATGCAATTTACACTGCCTAAAATTAGTGCTGCGTTTTTAGACAGCACCCTCTGGACTCTATGCGGAGATTTCTCATAGGGAATAAAATATCCCTCATCTAAATTTGGGAGCTCGAAAACTAACTAAACCACTAGATGCATCAGCTTAGCAGTGAGTTTTCCATGTTTAACTCAGCGTTATTCAGGCAGGTTCATTGCAGAGATTTCTTTCCTAAAAGACCCAAAAGCTGCAGCTCACCACGGAGCCCCCTGGAGCGTGTCCTGTGTGAAATGGCCGCTGTGGCTGTGTACCTTGGTGGACGTGCTCCATCCAGGGCGTTGAGTCACTGTCCTCGTCTGCCGCACGTAGACTTTCCATTACCGATAGTCTGAGGTTCCCAGCCGGGATAACAAAACCACTGGAAACACGGTGTGAGAGGTGCCTTTCCAAACGGCCAGCCACAGACTTGAGCTCAGCAACTCTGATGCCTTCAGCTTTCCATCAAGTTTTGTTAGAGTTGGAAGAAACAAAATATTATTTGTTAGGTCTTGAGGGCAGTTCATCCCACAAAGCAACGGTAGGAAAGAGTAATCATCAAAATATCTCTCCTGTGTACCCTGACTGTGAAGAAAAATATGCAGAGAAAGGCAAAGCCTCCCGTCGACGTGTCCTTGGGCAGAGAGCACCGCAGCTTTCCTGCCCAGGGTGGAAAAGCTTGAGGATCCCCATGAGTCAGCCTGCAGCTCCGCTTGGCCAGGGTTTGGTTCTGGCACTGTCAGCCCAGGGGGATGCGGGGTCTTGCAGGCAGCAGCTCCCCAGCGGGGCAGGGTTGTCCCCATCGGGCCCAGCCTTTGGGCAGGGGCAGAAGCATCTTTCTGGACCCAGAGGATGCATTTCTGAGCCCCGAGGGAAGCCTTTTTAGAGAGAACACAAAGGTTCCGGCGGGGAGCACAGCACAAATGTCCCCAGGGGTCACTGTCACTGAGATGGGCTGGTGCATGCTCAGGACATCGCCACCCTTCAGACATGGAGTGCACCCACAGCAGGTACAGATGCTTTTTTAGGGGCAGCTGCTGCCCTGCCCTCTGTGTGCATCCAACCAGCCCAAATAACCGAGGGAAGTTGACTTAAACACAGCTCAGTCTGCTCCATTGATGTTTACATGGCAGCTGCTTTGCCCTGTGAATCCAAGTCAGTATTGACTATTGGCTCTGGGAGTCCGTTTTCTCCATTATATGATGCCTGCCGGTCTCAAATCAGTGCCCATGAGCAGAAGGAGGGTGCCTGTCCATGGTGTGACCTCAGTTTGGGAACGTGGTTATAAGAAGTGGTCGTGTCCCATGTAGGAAAGACGGATTGGGAATAACCAGGAAGCATCAGCAGACTGCGCTGAGCTGTGTAACTGCAAACAAGGGACCAAAACTGAGCGCAGGAGTATGTAGTCTGAGCATCAGCAAAATTTTCCTATTCCCATGATCTGTCAGGCTGTAGAAATCCCCCAAGGAGCATTCCCTGCCATGGGAATCAATTCAAATGGAAATGGCAGTTACACGTTTGAGAGGAATCCTTCTCTGGCAGAGAGAGGAGCCAGGCAGCGCAGCTCTCTTTCCTCTCTGATTTAGGTGCCTTGTGCCTCTTTTTCCTGTGGGTTTTTTTTCCCCTCTCGGACAGTACACACCGTGGTTGAATTCTGCAGGTTTTTGAGGAAGGCTTTTCCCCTGCTTGTCCAAATCCAGCCGGTACAAAGTCAGGACTGGGTGCAGACACCTTGTTGTGCTCCTGGCAGTTGTGTCGGTGTTTGGAGATGCTCGAGCAGGAGCTGAGCGCTGCGGTGAAAACCCTTGGTCACTCAAAATGTGCTGAAGTGGGGCTCGAGGGGGTTGGGGACGAAAAAAGAGAGGCCATTTCTAAACAGTGCAGCGTAGCTGGCGAGTCGCTTTGTTTTCCTTTGGCTGTTGTGTTGGATATTTGTGGTCGGATAAGAGCTTGCCTTTTCCTTCTGCTGAATCTCGCAGTGAAGCTGGAGCCCTGCGTTCAACGTTGCAAATTCTTGCCACAGGGAAAAATACTTACGGGGTGAAATCTGTTATCTAAAGTCACATCTTTGTTAGTCATCAGCTTTTTCATCCTGCGTTTGATAATCCAGTGAGAAAGAAACGGTTTCAGTTGCAAACGATAGGGTTTTGTGGGTTTTCCAGACATGAAAGACACTATGGAAAATAACCCTTCCAGTAAATATTGTCGATGAATAATGAAAAGGAACAAACTCATTGGCAAATTTGCTGTAGGTTTTCTTTTGTTTTTCCACGTCGCTCTTCAAACTTTATGTTGTTTCCATTGGAAGCTGCGGCTGGGGCCGTCACATACAGTAAATTACAAGTGCTGGCTGCAGGCGGGAACGAGCATCTTTAGGATTTTGCTTTTTTAGCCAGAAAAGAAAGAGAGCAGCTGCTCTCAGTGATTTCTTGTTTTCCGTCTCTGCTTTTGCCTTGCTCCACGCCAGCACATGTACCATGCGGTGAAAGGTCCTGTGTGGGTGCTGAAGGATGCCACTTCTTCACCCTGCCAACCCTCCGAGCTCCTTGGAAACTACTTCTAATGTCAACACTATAACGATATTGCTCGGTACTGCTAATTTATCACTCCTACCAGATGGGTAGTAAGTAGCCTATTAACATTCACAAAGTGAGTGTCCGATTCCTTCACATTTCTAAACGCATCGCCCCGGGATTCCTGAGATTTATGGCGTGGAGTTGTCCCGTGGTGCGAGCCCCCTCGCACGGCCTTGAGCCTCGCGGAGGTGGGCAGTGCCTGCTGGGCGACAGCAGCAGAAAATCCCCTGCTCAGGTGGGTTTGGAGGAAAGGAGTCTGCAGGTTGGCAATTTGACAGGGTTTGAACTCTGATGTTTCTGGCTTTTTAATCTTGTGTGTAAATTCCCAACGGTTTTGATGCTCCCAGATATTCCTGGGAGGTGAGGAGTGCTCAGTCATCGTGGCTGAAGTGACTACAGGGTCAAATATGAAAGTCTGTGCTACAGGAATGAGGAAGAGGAGTTTACGTGCTTTATTACGTAGGTCTGTTAGAAGATGAGTAGGTTTTGGAGCCCGGTTACGTACCTTCAGTATTGCCGTTTTCCTAATAACACCCCTTTCTCCAGCTCACTTCTTTTCTCCCCCTCCCCCAAATCCCAAGCCCCTTTGTCTGCCCCACAGAACAACTTCTCTGTCTTTATGGGATAATTAGTGTGGACAATTGCTGCTTTTCCCATTGGGTTTGAGGTGCAGTGAGCCATGAAGGAATCTGTAATGACATGAAAAGTCACTGGAGGCGCGGATGGTGGCTGAATAGCAACAGTTACCTCTCTGAATAGATTAAATTAAAAAAAATAAAGCTTTGTGTTCGGCTGGGGGAAGGGAGGATTCACTAATCTTTTTGTACATGACAATGTGGTTTTGTGTCTCGGCAGCTCAAGGAAGAAATCAGGCGGGGCTTTGCCGGCCTGGAGGACCCATTGGCAGGACTGCTGGCCATGCTGGAGGGCAGCAGCGATTGGAAGGGGAAGGGGCATTCCCTGGGGTATTGCATCACCAGCGAGCTGCAGCTTTGGATAAAAGAGCATCCTGCTGTTCAACAGGTTAGAAAAAGAGAGAGCCAGGAGAAAGGAGCAGGCAATTGGTTTTCATGTCCCTCAGGCATCCCCAGTTTCACTTTGTTCCAGCATCTCCTCCGTAGTCTCACACAAACACAGAATCACAGAACACAGAATCCCAGACCGTTAGGGATTGGAAGGGACCTCCAAAGCTCATCCAGTCCAATCCCCCTGCCGGAGCAGGAACACCCAGATGAGGTTACACAGGAAGGCGTCCAGGCGGGTTTTGAATGTCTGCAGAGAAGGAGACTCCACAACCTCTCTGGGCAGCCTGGGCCAGGGCTCTGTCACCCTCACTGAGAAGAAGTTTCTTCTCCAATTTCAGTGGAACCTCCTGTGTTCCAGTTTGTGTCCGTTACCCCTTGTCCTATCATTGTTTGTCACCGAGAAGAGCCTGGCTCCATCCTCGTGACACTCACCCTTTAAATATTTATAACCATGAATGAGGTCTCCCCTCAGTCTCCTCTTCTGCAAACTAAACACGGTGTGCTGAGGTGTGAAATGAGTACTGAGGTGGTGTTATCTGTTGTATGCTGGCCTGAAAATGAAATTATATTAGAAGCTGTGATGCAAAAGCTCAGATTCCCCTTCCAGGCTGGGATTTCCATCGTTCCAGATCAAACCGCTTTGATCAAGCATTGATCTCGCAGCCTTTGCTGGGCTGGAGGCTTTCCCACTGGAACTCACATCCCTGCTGTCAGGATAAAACCCGTTGCAGTAATCTACTCTGCACATCCTTCCAGTTCTGCAAATAGAAGCCAGTTACTGTACGATTGCTTAACTCCCGCCATATGGTGGGGGGAGCTTTTATCACCGGGAATGCAGAAAATGGTAACAGTATGGCTTTTCAGCAGCTGAATGATGAGCTTTGTGACATTGGGTCATCAGATCATACATCCTAATGTCTACCATTCCTTACGCTTTCATGCATTCTGACCTCCTGAGATTTTATCTTTTTTTTTTGTACGCTGTTGGCTCTGAACTGCAAGACACTTTTGTATTTGTGTGGTTTCGTTTCCCATTTTTCCGAGTGGCTCTTTTTAGCTGTTGAGCTCTGCCATTGCGAAGTGCAGTGCTACTGGCACTGAAATTCCTGTGCCATGAGAGAACGACCGTGTAGGAACATAAGGATTAAAACTTGTATCTGTGCAGCTTTTGTCGGTGCTTTTGCTTTTCCTGCCCTTCTCGCACCCAGGAGCAGGCCTGGGAATGCAAATTGAATTCTTATGCCTGATAGGTGAGATCTCCCTTGAGGGGAGATGCTGGATCCAAAGATTTTCTGCTGGGAACCAGAGGGGAGAATTTCTAAATAGCTGCGTTAGTAAAAGAGGGCATTTTTCCAGTTTCATGTTTTACTTTTGCACAAGGCCATATGCCTCTTCCAGAATTACCCCGCAAACATTTCGTGTTTTTAAATCGGTCGCCGTGACAAAAAATGCGTCCCATATTGTTCTGATTTCTGCTTGCAGACTCCGTGGGGAAATTGGAGAATCCCTTCCCAAGGAATTGGCTTATTCCACTGTTTAAACAAGCTGCGTTTTCAACTGCCGTTGAATCGTAGCCATCTTGACTAAATCTGCCCTTGATTTCTTTTTTTCTTTCTAGTCTGGCACCAAGCTGAAGAAGCTGCAGGCCCGTGTACTCAGAATACTACCCCAGTGCCCAGCTAATCTTCTTGACCCTCTGATTAGCATTTACCAGCTCCATACAGCCGACCGGAACTATTTGCTTGGACACGTCAGTCATCTTTATCACAGGGGCGATTACAAAGAGGTGGGTCATGTCTTTCAAATAAATTTACCTACCCCGGCTCCCCGGTTCGCTCTTAATGTCTGTGTCCTTTTTTTTGTTTTGGATGCATTTCAATGTGAATTCCGTTTTCGTCGCAGCAGCTGCACGCTGTGAATGGTGCAGCTTAGCGTGGGCTTCCCGCGTACCCGAGCGGGCTCCGCTCAGCCGCGGTTTGAGTGCAGGATGCCAGGGAATCCTTCCTCCACCCCTCTTCTGACCTTTGGAAGTAATAGGTTAATAGGGTTTAATTTGGAGAATTTAAGGGGATGGTTGTGTTCTTTTTTTGTTTGTTTTCCTTGTCCCTGGCAAGAAAAGAAGGGGGTTTAGTGGTTGGTCATAGACCTGCTGCGCTATCTCCTGCAGCGAGGAGGGGTTAGAAAAATCTCACTGCTCCCACGTGATGATCCTGCCCAAAGGGTTCTCAGTCTGAGGAGTTTCGAAGCCTCTTTACCATTGAGGCTCATATTCAAAACTCAAAATACTCATGTATTTCAATTTGAGTGGCTGATGCTGGCAGGAGTTCACCGAACCCAGGATTTGGTGTTTTACCCAGTGGTTTAGAGGACTTTGCAGCATTTCTAGCATCACCATGAAGTCTTGATAGCCTTGTGAGTGTTCTCGTGAGCAAACTGCAATGCTGTTCATGCCGCTTCTTACAAGGCAAAAACCATAGGTTTATTTTCTTGAAAGGAAGATGGTTCACATCGGTGATGTGGAACAGCTTGATCTTGTTTAGCAAAAGAAAAAAATCAAGTAGCGTTTTAAAAATTCTATTCTTCAGCAAAGCCAAATTCCCAAGTGAGATTGTAGAAATCCATTCTTGGTGATTTCTCTGAATACTGAAACAAGGACATTTCATATTTGATTAGAAATTCCCAGGTAGCTGCTTGAAACTCTTTTACTCAATAAGGTTTTGAACATGAACGTTTGAAAATCCTAACAGAAATGTAGTATTCGCCTACATTCAAGTGTGATTCTTAAGTTCACAGCTCCACAGATGTTTATTGTTGTCATTAGAAATGCAGTTCTTTCTAGATCTGGTTTTGGAAAGCTCTGATTTTGTTTTGGTGGAATTGTTTTTCTGTCCTTTCTTCCACAGAAAAGCTCATTTAGCAGCCATTCCCAGTGTGAAGAACAGGAAACCTCAACTGTCGCTTACCCTCAGCCATAACTTTCTTCTAGTTTTGTTTTGTCGCCAGAAGGATGAATAGAATTATCTTCAAGAATAACAGGAAATCTTTCACTGCCCCTGGGGACTGATCGTACCTAAGTTCACAGCAACTAACCCCAAAAAACCTGGGACTTGGGCTCTGAGCGCTGGCAGTGACTGTGGCGTGTCCGTTCATCCTGCTCTTCCCTGTCAGTAAAGCAGATTCACGTGTGGGATTTTTGGCTCTTCCGTCTCTCACCTGAAAGGACAGAAATCCTTATAAATCCTTGCTGAGTTCACATTTATTTTATAAATAAAATAAGACACCAGGCATTTCTTCTAGAGCACATCATTCCCTGTGCCTCTCTGGATGCATTTCCCACTGTGGTGCGTGAACCATGAGGGTCCCCAGCTCTGCTCTGGGAGTTAAGGCTCCTTTCCCTCACAGAGGTTTTAGAGAAAGATCTCTTCAGAAAACGAGATCCCAGAGGATGGCCATGGCAGTTATTTGTTTCTCGAGCACATCTGGCCCTCCCCATCTGCCTTGTTTTAGTAGAGCTGGCCAAAAGCTGAACCAGTTTGTGAATGGCAGCAGGGTGCGAGTGCCGTGGGGTGGCAGGGAAACCATCGACCGCACATAGGCAGGGTCTGGTGGAAGATGGCGCGGGTGGAGGTAACTTTATTCTGATTTAGCAGCTTAAAATCGCAGCTGTGGTGAGGAGGCACCCGATGGGGAGCACTGGCCAGGGGATGGCACTGCTGCTCCCATGATGCACAGAAATGAGCTGATGCGGTGAGTGGAAGGAAAAAGCAGGGACGTAGAAGTGGGGTTTTGAGATGTCTGGCCTGTTTGGGGTTTTTAGCCGTTCTTTTGTGAGTGGGGTTTGCAGCTGCTGGAGGAGCAGGGCAGTGAGGGGCCTTGCAGGGCCCTCTGGAGCTGCACAAGGGGCTCCCGGGCCTGCTCCTCACGGCCCACACGGCATCAAGAGACAGCGGGTCTGACCGTCCCGCTCAGGTGGTGCCAGGTGAAATGTGGTGGCTTTGTCCATTCTCAGGAGCTCTGGGAAGCCCCAGGCCATGGCTCCATGCCGCCCTCACCCCGGGCCGTCCTGGGCTGTGCCACAGCCCGGTCGCTGGGCCTGGTGGACGGCTTTGTGGGAAGGGCAATGGCTGCTGGTGGGGCCGGGACAATGCGGGGATTCAGCAGACCGGGGGTAATGCAGTGCGAGCGAGTCTGTGAGAGGCCCTGAATAGGCCAGGCTGTGCTTGAGAAGAATGAGGGGTAGGCAGAAGGCAAGCTAGTGTTTCATGGTCATCTTATGTTACACTTCAGCCTTTCAAAGAGTGTCTGGGGCTGCTTGAATGAACCTCTCTTGCACTGCGAATGCGGGAGCCTAAAGACAAAGGGGACTCTTGTCACTCGCAGGCCCCTTTCGGGAATAAAAGCCATTGTCACATGAACAGGGGCAGTCTGGCAGGCTGTGCATGCTTCAGTGCCCCATGATATCGCTAAGTCTCAGCAGAAATCACATTCAGGGCCCTGTCAGCTTTGATTAGCGGGGTCTCATGACTTAATGTGCTGCGATATTTCATGTCTAAGGGTGGCGGCTGTCTTTCTGTGGGATGAATGCCCTCTATTGTCCACTGAGTTATTTTATTTACATTTTTTAAACAGCTTATAAAGGTAAAAAGATAGCTGCGCTTAAAGGAAAAAAAAAATCAAATTCCTTTGCTTCTGGATCAGTCGTGAGTGCTGCTTGGGTCAGATACAGTGAAACTTGTTTTCACAGTCAGCATCAAAGTTCTCGTCTTGTTTAACAGCTTTATAGTAAATTCTGAACAGGTGGCAGTGGAGCTGGGTTTAGGAAGGAAACAATAAATAATCTTTTTAGCCTCTGACAACCAGAAATATTCCTGGGCCTGAGAGAGCTCCCGCTCTGACTCCTCTGCATCGGTGACCAGCAGCGTTTTTCTCTTCTTCATGGGTTTGGTTCTTAAACAAGAATATTGGACGAAGCCATTGGTGGGATGGGGAGTATTGAATTTTTACAAGTTTTTTGGTGGTTGTCCATCTGGGTTTCTCTGTTTTCCAAAGCAGAGTACATCTTTTCTACTAATTTGTAATCCATTAGTTCTGCCAATAGTGAGGGTTGATTCTGTATGTTAAATTCAGTTAACGTTTGCTCTTTCGATTGAGATAAGGTGGGTTATCTCTTAAAATTCAGTTGTTAAAATTTGTCATCAAATAAGTTGGCGTACCCAGGGAAAAAGCTCTGTAGACACGGATTTTGTCAGCAATTCATAACTCCTAGAGAAATAATTGATATTTCAGTTGAAAGGATGGTTGACCAAAGAGTTAAACTTAAAGGAATGCAAACATAGGAAGGTGTAGAAATGCGTAGTTCAGTCACCAGCGTGACCTTAGATTTTCAATTTGATTTTGAACACTGATTCAGAGATGGTTTTGGTTTCGGTCCTACTTCGTGCATGGTGGTTGAGTACGCACGTGTATTTTTGCAGATCTGTCAATGCAGATCAGTGTTAAAGTCGACTGAGCACATCAGTGGATATTCAGATTTTGGATTTCTTCACTCTGACTTTTTTGAGCTGTTCTCAGGGTGGTGAAAATGTCTCTGATACTGCTGCTTTGTGTACATTTGAATTTCTTCGCTTCTTTTAAATTAAAACCAGTAATTGTTAAGAAAAACAAGGGAAATGTTACTGGGGATATTTCTCCTATGTGGATGCTCAGCCTCAACTCTTTTTTCCTCTTAATTCACTCCTAAAGGACGGCTTTAATGGCGCATTAGCTGCTAGATTAGTGCTACTCCAGGACAGAGGTAGCCAACCTGCAGCCATGGACCACTTTGCCTCCTGCTCCTGTACACCAACTTCTAGAGCTGTCTCTGCTGTGGGTGTCTGGTGAGGTGCTTGGGAAGGAGCTACAGTGTAGTGACAGCAATTCACATGGTGGTACCTGCTCCTTCTGCCAGCGTTTCAGGGCTGTCATCAGGCAAGCAGGCTCTTGGAAAAGGAGTGCGGATGTGCAGCAGACCCAGCCATGGAGAGAGTCTGGGTCTGGAGGATCTGGTGCTGGTGGGTGCCCTGTGCAGTGCTCTAGAGGGTCAGGCGGTTGTGAGGGTGCAGTGACTGGTTGAGCCAGGTTTAAAACTGCTTTGGGTGAGCAGAGGAAGGCAAATGTGGGAAGCGTTTGTTTCAGTTCCCTCTTCCCTCACGTGTCCACGCACTTATTCCAACCTTGACTTTTACATCTCTCGCTAAGACCCTTAGCAACCTGTCACTGCTTCGCTTTGAGGGTCTCACTCCCTATAAAATATGCTTATTCTCTCCCGAAAGTGAACCTGGGAAATCTCATGTTGTTCTCATTGCTGAAGATCTTCCCAAAGACAGCTGTGTATTTTACGTGCTCTTTAAGCAGGAAGCAATTAAACATCTAACCTGATGTCACCCGCTCTGCAGTGATGCACTCCGAGAGTTTCAGCAAAGCTGACTAGCCACAGGTTTGAGATGAGTGATTCCAAAACACAGAACAGATGTTCCCAATGATTAATACATGATGTGCCTTTTGCTCAATTATTTCTACCATTATTACTTATCCAGACTTTGATCACTGTGATTTTCCTCGAGCTGACATTGGATCCTCCTCTGCAAAGTCCCCTTCTGTCGTTTTGGTCCCTTCTGTGGGTTTTCAGAAATTCCTTCACCGTTGGTCCAGAAATACACCACTAAGTCAGGCACGGGCGTATTTACCTTTGTGCTGTCCCAACTTGCTTGCAGCAGAGCTAAGTAATGCAGGAGTCATCAGAAACCACTCGTGTCTGTCCTGCATCACCACTCCAAGCAGTGCAACTGGCACAAGGTTATTCCTCTGATGCTAACCCCCACCGTGGGAAAACTGCCTAAATTCTCGGTGTAGACACCACCCAAGTGCACATGCCCTTGCAGATAAGATCTGGTGTGGCTTCCTGCGCTTCGTGCTGTCTATGGAAAGAATCGGCGTTTTGAGATGAGGCAGAGCCAATTGCATTCAAAACAAGCCGAGAGGATCAGGTATTGGTGCAGGGCGCTCTGGGCTTGTGTGCTCGCTTCAAAACGCTCCCCGTTTTCCCATACTCTTGTTTTTGCCATCGCATGACTCCAAGAGTGGTCTGGTGCTTGTGGCTTGGCCCAAATGCGTCAAGTTTGGGTAACTTCCTCCACCCTATGGTCAACGCACCTCCACACGTTTTAGATGTAATTTAATGTAGTATTGCCCAGCTTTGAATTCTTCCCCATCCTCATGCACCTCTCCCATGCTTTATTTTTAGGTGTTTATCCTTGGGAAACAAAACTATTACAAAATGTCCAAGTATGATTTTTGCTTTCGTGATAATCAGATCCAAGAATGACCTGAAGCTCTCTGAGGACAGCGAGAAGACTCCCAGATTTTGATGGGCTTTGAATCAGGCCCATCACCTTTTCTCCATGAAGCGGTGGCTTCATTTTGTACCTGTCCCATATACACCTGGGGGATGCAAGGAAAGAAAGGAAGCAACCTTTGCCATATTTCTGTTATGATCTGGGGCAGGAGGGTTTTAGTTACAGGTTAAACACTTTTATGTGTAGCAATAATGTTAATAATGCAAAATCTTTGCTGTTATTGTAGATGCTAGAAACTCTCAGGGTATTAAATAAATGTACTTTTGTGGCAAGGCTACAGGACTGAAACATCCGCTATAGTCTGAGGGAGGGCGAATAGACCCTGAGAAGCTGATGAGATGTTAGCACTCACCAGAGCTTTCCCATATTAGGTTGTTTTGCTCTTATCGATGCCCTGGTGACGTGGAGGAGGTGTCTGCAGCCCAGGGTATTTGTTGCCCTGCTGATCCATGTGGGTCTGAAGACCTGCAGTTGGATTAATGTGATTTTAGCTTCCAGCTCCCCTGGCTGGTGTTGCAGCACTGCATAAAGGGAAACCCGCATTTCTGGGGTTGGGAGGGGGATTCTCACCCTGTTGCTGCCTGTGTAATTGAAGTGTTTGTTTTCTAACTAAAGAACGAGTCTGCGAATGAGGTGTTGCTTTTCTGGAGATCTTATCAGCTCTAAACAGACTGTTAAAAATAGGGTCGTTTTACACAAAACTTGTTTGTGGAGTGAAACAATTCAAAACACGATAATAACAAAACAAAGCCTTAAAATAGCTCCGAGTCCAGACCACAGGCGCAGCTGCCAAGCACTTTCATCTTTATTGCAGTTACTCATATCTCTTCTCTTAGGATTCCTATTGTAAACACGCTGATGTTATCTCGCTATTCAGCCAGCCCCTGTAACTGCACCCTGCGATCCGCCGGCTTGTTTGTGTGAGGACCCGGGTCGTGCCCATGGTGTTCCCTGCCAGCAGCACAGTTTGGCTGCTCCATCACCTACACCGTTCACTGGGTGACGTTAAAACGATGTTCAAAACCAGTTTGTGTGATCTGCTTGAAGTCCCAGTGACCGCAGCGGTGGTGGCGGCGTGCGCTGGGTCTGCCGTGGCTCTCCTTGCTCCGGTTAAATGAATATTCCCTGCTCTGCACCCTTTGGTAGGGGTAGGATGTACATCCAGTGAAAGAGGGAAACCTAAGCTGCTCATCTGATTGAGTCACCTGTACGGTTCGTAGAGATGGAGATAAAACTGTGCCTTTTAGATAACAGTTCTGCAATTAGGTTAATCTGAACGTGCATGTGAGCATTAAAAAGCTGTTAGGGAAAGCACTGTCTGCTTGCATGTTAAAACTAACGGATTACTTGTTCAATAACAGCTACTAATGAGGTCAAATGGCAAAACAAGATTTTGAGAGTTGCAAGCCTTTAAATTTTTTTTATTTCTGCAAACTGAGATGGCTGGGAGGAAAATTAAAGCAGCTGCAAAGAGACCCAAACCCCTTCTTCAGGTCCAAAACAGAAGCAGCAACCTTCAACTTGTGTGCAAGTCGTGAATAAATGCTCGTCTTGAATTTTGTGGTGTTAATCTGATAATTTGAGAGAAAAGGTACTTGGTGCTGATGGAGCAGAGCAGCGCATTAGACTCTAATGAGGTGGAATAGCTACGAAATCAGGAGTAAGGAGGGCTTTGGTTGAAGGTTTAGCTGGGCTGAGCAGTGTTGGTGCGCCTGGTTTGTAGTGTGCAGTTGCTGTGTTAGTGCTGGTTCCTGCCTTTGCCACGTAAAGCTCTTCTGTTGGTTTCTGGTCTGGGGATGAAGCCTGGACTGTTGTTCATGCAGTGATTGTTTTGTGTTAAAAAAACAAACACCTCCAAAAAACCCAAAACAAAAACAACCAACCAAAGCCAAGAAACAAACCCAAACCCAAACAAACAGGAAAAGAAAAGTTTTCCCACTGATAACTGGGAATTTCTGTTCTTTCTGGACAGTAACATTGAGCGATTGAACTTGTACAGCGCGTGTTGGTTGTCTGCTTTTGTGCACCCAGGCGTCGATGCAGTGGCTGAAATGCGTGGATGAATTTCCCAGGAGGTAACACCATCCACGGCTCCTGTGAGCTGTGGGGTTTGCTCGGCTGGGTCTGCAGATCCTGTGCTGAGCTCAGCTCAGGTGTCCTTCAGTGCCAGGAGACATCACCAAAAACACGTTTCAGGGTGTGCTCCTACCCCTGCTTAGGTTATTCTGCTGGTCAGACTTTCCTATAACGTTTTCATGCAGGTGAAGATTTGCGTTTCCTTGAGGGGAATGCACATTTTCACTGCTTGATGTTTGTTTACATACTCTAACAAATCACACCACTCTCAAACAGGGCTGTTCTGACACCCGTATCCATCATTTCCATGCTCTTTCTCTCAAATTAAAATCAAAACCAGACGACACAGAGACCTGCAGAAGATGAGGGCTTTTCCTCTAAGCCCCAACACTGGTTTTATCCTCATCTGAATAAACGGGCATTTGTTCACTCGGTAGATTATGGACTCTGTCTTGTTGTTGCTTAGCATTACGTGCCTGCTGCCATAGGGTTGGAGATGTCCTGCTTTCAAACATTGCTTACAACCATTTTGGAATGAAAATACAGCCCAGCTTTGCTAAATAATTAGGATACTTCATGTAAAACTTCCTCATTACCGGGTTCCCAGTTACATCCATCCTGGCACACAAATGCGCTCGAAGGCTCCTTGCTCTCCCAGCTCTATTTACTGGAACAATAAACTATATTAAAGAACACCATGATATGCTTATTCGGTATTTGAGATCTGAGTATTCTCACACGCTACAGAAATTAGACACTATTAACTGCTTCAAATCCTAATTAGTTGTATGCCTCCCAAGCAATGCACAGGTAGATCTTAATGGATTTCGGTAATCTCCAAGCTGGGGCAGGGTAAGCAGCGGCTGAACCAGTTCTTCCTGCAGCCAAAGTTACTGCAGTTCACCACCAGTTTGGAGTTAATTTGTGATCGGGGCAGGTCTTGGCTTATCAAACATTTGTAGATACCACAAAAGGGGGAAAAAAGAGTTCTTGCCATCTCGCTGACATGGGTGAACCGTAGCGCTAAGACCTCTTGGATTCAGGGTCTTTTAAATCTTGAGCTGCTTTGCCAAAGTGCAACCGTTTTCCAAACTTTAAAAGGCACACCAAGATGGATAAAGTTACCTCGGAAAGATATGGTGTGTCTGGTGTTTTTTACCATTATATTGATAGAAAATATCCATCTTAGCCGGTTTTCTCCAAGCATTTCACGTTCTCTCTTTCTTTCTGCCAGACAACTTGATCTTCAGTATTGGCTCCGGGCTGTGCTGCTGCTCAGAATATGCAGCTCTGCCAGCAGCGTTCTCCTGCGTTTCCAAATGGGTTTTATGTGGCCAAATGTTTATGTGATTTGTGCTTCAAAATTTAACGGAAATAATTAACACATTAAAAATTTGTATCATGGCATATACGCTTTGCTTTGGAATAACGCCCGCTTACCCGCTGTGGTTCTTCTCCTAAATACACACATTTTTTGTATTTTCTAGGCAGCCATACTGAGCATTAAGCTAAAATTACAGCCAGATCAAGATGTGGAGAAGGTGAGTCATTTCCTCTGCAGGCTTCTCTGTCATCAGATCCACCTCTCATTAAGCAGAAGATCCACCAAGGCCGTCCAGGTTGTGCTGCCTTCCACTTAAGGCTTTACTTTGTTCCCAAGCATTTCGGCTGCATTGCTGATGTACCCCTATAGCTAGGGAAGTGGCAGAGTGGATTTTTTAGACCCTATTACAGCTTACTGGAGTGTTTTGCTAACTGCAGCCACTGTTATAGAAAATTCTCGCTGTGTTCTTGACAAATGGTTATTGCCGTGATGGAGTTCAGCGTTTGCGCTATTTTGAAGCTTATTAGGAGTTGTCAGGGCCTCTGGAGCTCCCCCAGTGCAACCCCTGCCAGAGCAGGATCACCAGAGCAGTCACACAGGAACACGGCCAGGGCTTTGGGTGTCTCCACACAAGGAGACTCCACAACCTCTCTGGGCAGCCTGGGCCATGCTCCAGAACCCTCACACTGACAAACTTTGGCCTCATCTTCAGCTTGAACCTCCTGTGCTCCAGCTTGGGACCATTGCCCCTTGTGCTGGCATTGGCCATCCCAGAGCAGAGCCTGGCTCCTTCCTCCTGACACTGCCCTTTCCCAATGGATCCCCAGGAATGAGGGCACCCCTCAGTCTGCTCTGCTCCAAGCTCAAGAGCCCCAGCTCCCTCAGCCGCTCCTCAGCAGGAGATGCTCCACTCCCTGCATCATCTCTGTGGCCCTGCTGGACTCTTTCAAGCAGTTCCTGTCCTTCTGGAGCTGAGGGCCCAGCACTGGACACAAGATTGCAGCTGTGGTGTGAGCAGGGCAGAGCAGAGGGGCAGGAGAACCTCTCTGCCCTACTTGTGTTGAAAACGTCCCATCACTCTTTTAGGCAGCACTGGTTGATTAAGCAGGGAGGTTGTCACTTGCTCTTGCCAGCTTTTGCTCTGCAATGTCATGGATCTCCTCCACGTGCTGCAGTGCTCAGGCTGCACAACGTGGTGCTCAAAGGCAGGGCACAGCACTTTAATGTCATCTCTTCTCCTAGATGTGTACGCCACTACTGCTCCAAGATAAAACTAACCTGGTGGAAGATTATGTGGGAGAATATCCCGAGCTCCAGAGGAAGCTCTTGCAGATCCTGGACACGTGGTGTGAACCTGGTTTTAATGTCAGAGACATCGCAAGGTAGAAATGTTTGTTGGCTCTCTAAACAGCTGGGGCCACCTTGCTGTCAGAGCACAGCACGTTCCCTGGTTGTCTATCTCAGATCGTTTCTCAGCACCATGCAGTGCAATATATTCACTTTTCAGCTGAGGAAGGGGAAATTCTGGTCCCTGTGCCAGAGTCTTCTCCAACGCCTCAGCCTGTAAATAGGGGGATCATTCCTATTGACAGCTGCTTGGTTCCTGCCAGGAGAGAGGAGTGCGAAATGAAACCTGTGCAGTAGATCTTAGCAATATAACAATATCAAAGCTTCCTCCAGGAGGTTGTAGCAATCAAGACTCTCGTGCTTTGCTACAGAGAAGGGTGAGTTTCAGTATCGGTTGTACAGGTTTTGCAGGAAGATAATACTGTGATGAAGTGGCAGAAAAACAAGAGATGCGAGTGGTTAACCTTCGTGTGCTCATGAAATAGCCGTGTGTGTTTTAATTTATAAATTACCTCTCACTGGAACAGCTCCTGTCAGTCACAGAGCCAACAGTACAGTCAAAATCTCACTGTAGGTGCAATAGTTGCAGTCTTAGTTCTGAGAGAGGACAAGAGGCAGTTGCTCACTTTCTCTTTATTTAAAATAAGCTTCAGTCATGGATTTTAGGAAATGTGTGTGGTTGTATTGTTGGCTTTTTGCTGTAACCTGGGAAAGGTTCGTACCAACTGGTCCTACCAACACCTAGCAAACCCTCATACCTCTACTGTTAAATACCTCCTATTTGGGAAACATACTTACATGGATTTCTTTCTCATTTTGTTTATTTGCTTACAGACAATACCAAGGCCTGTCCAGGTACAAACCAGATAAATTTAACCGCAAAATACTAAGCAAGCTGGTCTTCAGGCTCCTCGACCGATATAACGTAGATCCAGGTATGTGATATTGCAACACGTTGTGGAGTTATCTCCCCGTAAGGAACAGATGAAGCCAATTTGTCTTCTTCCGTGTTCAGCAAGGAATCCCTGCTGTAATTTATCATGGGGACTTTCAGGCTTTAATTAATGATATTGAAAAACAAAGCTGGTAAGTTATGGGAATTATCACTTTGTGCTGTCGAAGAATGAAGTGCTTGTGACTAATAGGCTGCTTCTTCCACAATATGAAATAAATCTTGACCTCAGAATGGCTCTATGTAAACACATGATGGTCAGCTTTGAGTTATGACTCCATTCCACTCCCATAAGAGGCAAGTCATCATTCATCTGGGGATCTGTTTTCTTGAGTTACGGGTCCGTCAGCTGGGAAGAGATAACCCTTGGGAAACAGGAGCCTCTCAGCCCTTTGTACTCTTTGCATAAACTGGGGTTGATGGTAGGGATTTTTAGGGCTCTTGCAGCCTTCTGAGAGAAGTGTCACATTTACCTCACTGAATAGATCTGCTTCACTATCTAACAAAATCTACTTGGTTTTGCTTTTGAACTGTTGATCTTCTTTTTTTCTCTTTGAGACCTTGCATCAGACACCTTTCTGTGCACCGTTAGGTTTTACCCTGCGAAGCTTTCCATCACCAGCCCAAGATATGCAATTCTCTTTTCTTGGACTGAACAGTGTTTTCTAACCACAAATTGTGTGCTTATTACACCTGGCAGCAACACCGTATTTCATATTAATTGCACATCTTCAGACTGGTGTTCAAAAGTTAATAAGATAATCCTTACAAACCCTCGTTGGAGGATAAGTGAATATAATTAAGCTAAGCACATTGGTGTGTAAGCTGAGACATATGGGGAGGCGATTTATTTAAAATCTAAAACCTTCCCAGGAGTTTACTGATCTTCAGTAGACTGTATTGTCTTTTATGATCTGTAAAGAGAATTGAGTTGTTCCCTTTTCCTTATGAAAGATCCACCAAAGGTATGATACTGATTGTAGAGGTGAAGTGATATACCCATTCACATGCAAAATCCTGAGAAATTAAAAAATAATGAGCTATGACAGGGGCATGTGGCTCTCTGTGGGACGGTAGCATGCCTCAGCCTGGTGATGGTGTCCTACATCTTGTAGGTGCTGCTAATAACAGCCAGACCTTGCCGGTGCTCCACAACACATCACGGTGTGGAGGTTCCCTGACGTAGATACAGATCCCATTCCTGCCTGTGCTGCCAGAGAGTCATTTATCCCATGCAAACTGCAGTGTCTACAGTGCAGGATAAGTCACTTTCTAGAGAGGGCTGTGGGGCTCTATTGATGTGCAAGGGGATGTGGGCTCTACTGATGTAGACAAGATGCCAGATTTGGGGCAGCTGAAACCAGTGCTGGATGAGTCATAGTGCCATGTATGAAAGTAGGTGTTTATTTTTTATGTATTACCACATGTAATTCAGAGGAGGATTTCACACTTTGCTGAACTGTGGCTGTCTTAGTCTCCTTTGAAATGCTTTGGAAGGGGATGAATGCCTACAGAGGAATTTCTCCATTCTTTAGTGGAAGTAAATCTGA